TGGGGTCTTTCCTTCTGTTGTTGTTGTTGTTGTGGTGGAGGCGGGAGTGGATTGAGTTGACTCGGGCTTGGTCTTGCTTGAGGATTTGAGCATGGTATTTTTCATCACTAGTTGTTGTTGAAGTTTTTGATGATTTGTGGAATTTGGAGCATGGCCCATGTTTGTGTACCACTTTCAATACCGAAGGTGCCTTGTTACTGTTATGACCTGAGATCATTGAAACATGTATGCATATAGAGAGAGAGTGTGTGTGTGTTAGAGATACATAAATGCACATAAAATGGGGTTTGAAATTAAGTTATACATATATATAGGATGAATTAACCTTTGGTGGAGGGGCTGCAGGTGGTTGCTGGTAGAAGAGAGTTTACTTCAACCGTGTGAGTGGTATGTGGCAGAAGGTGGGGTTTTGTATCTCTTGCTGCCAAAGCAAATCCGTTTTCGAAAGAGCAGAGAATTAGGCATAGAAATACAGAGAAGAAACCCATGAAAAACCTAAGGAAGGAGGAGCTAGAAATAATGGGAGTTGCCATGAATAATTAACAAGATTGCCTCTAGATTATTGAGTTGCTGCTGTAATGTAAGCATACTCTTGGCCTTATATTGGCTAATTGGAGACGGGTATGTCAACGGGGGTTATCAGAGTTAGGGTTCGTTTGGTATGACAGACTGTTATGGACTAGATTAAATCCTAGGACTGTCTTGGATTAGTTCAGATTGGCCTAAAATTGATTAAGTACTGAATTACGTTTGTTGCTACGTTGGACTAAGGAGCTAGATTGTTGTTGTAACCTGGTCATTAAAATGTATGAGTGTATGTTTACATGTGACTCTTTATATGCATATATTCACAATTATATCCATCTGTGGATGCCTGCCACTAGTTTACGGGTAACAACACCATGCATGTCATGTGGGTGAGAGAGACACAAAGGTAACGGGGCTCTGTTTTTTTGTTTGTTTTTTTTTTTTTTAAAATTTAAATTTTAATAGAGTAAATTTGGTTTAAGTTTTTTTATTATAGAAAAGTTGATAGAGGTCCAAAAATCCAACCAATAGTTAGGTCTAGTCCTCGAATTATTGTTTGTTAATACAAGTCCTTTAACTAGTTTGCCATGTAGATTACATTCCATTTTTGACATGCTGACTCAATCTTTTATATTTAACTGATTTGTATTTAAATTTTTTGTTCATATTATATCCCTATTGTCTAAAATGGGTAAGATGAGGATTTATAGGTCATTAATGATTAAATTTGATCATGTAATTAAAGGAATAATTACATTTTGAATGTAATTGTCGGACCTTCACTTTTTTCTTGTGCTTGATTTGTGCAAATTCCTATGCTCCAGGTACAATACCCTACTAACCATTGAACTTGATATACCTATCTAATAGGTATAGTACATATTTGATGCACCTCAATAATAGGTAAAACACATATTGGATGCACCTCAATGCCAGGTAAAACACATATGTTTAAAATAAAATAAAAAAAGTTATACCTCCATACTAGGTATATTAAAAAATTAACATTATGACAAAAAAATTCCATCAAAGAATTTTGAAAACTCAATATATAAATTTATGGCCAAAAGGTAGGTATATGCTACCAATTTAATAAAGCTACGAATATAGAATTCTAAAAAATATAGTTTTCATATATATATATATATATATATATATATCTGAAATTTGAATTAAATAGGTTTTTAATCGGTGAGCCATGAAATCATCTTTTAAATTGAATGTCATAAGTTTGATTGTAGGAGAAATACTTATACTTAAAAGTGGTATTTGCATGTACTTGCCATTTTCAACCAATGTCATTATTGTAAATGTCTTGAATACAAGGTTTGCTTACCTGGCCATACAATTGATTGGGAGGACTACAAGGTATGCTAAACTTTTTTTTATTTTAAAAAGTGTATGTTTTTCTATGCATATGAATATTAGAGGGAATTTCACAGTATATCTATATAATAGCAAACTCTACGCCCATGCGCCATTGGAATTAACAGCGTATATAGTAAGGCCTAACGAAATACTGGATGCCAGACAATATATGAATATATATATATATATATATAGAGAGATGCATGCACGTAATTAAAATGGGGTTTGAAATGAATTAACCTTTGGTGGAGGGGGTGCAGGTGGTCGCTGGTAGAAGAGAGTTTACTTGTACTGTGTGAGTAGTGTGTCGCAGAAGGTGGGGTTCTGGACTTGTTGCTGCCAGAGCAATGTCCTTTTCGAAAGAGTAGAGAATTAGGAACAGAAATACAGAGAAGAAACCCATGAAAAAACCTGAGGAAAGAGGAGGAGCTAGAAATGAATATAGTTAACAAACCTAGCTAGCTATTAGTGGCAGACTTATTAAGGCGCAAGGAGGTGTGCAGTTGCACCTCTTTTCGCCGGAAAAACAAGTGTAGGTGCTTCAAATTGCCCTTTTGCTCAACTGGTATACAAATTACCTTATTTCCACTTATTTTTATATCACTCTATTTACTTAATTTATAATATAAATAAGGAAGTACCTCTCATTTGGATTCAAATAAAAATACTAGAAAATCAAATTCCCACCAAATCAAAATTTGAAAAATCGGTTTTAGTGCAAAATACGATTTATGCTAAAAATGATTTCTCATTAAGTCAATATATACTTCATACTAAAATCCCATAAAATCAAGTTTTTTTATTTGATGTGTAAGGAATAAAAGTCACCAAAAATTATTTTGAGAAAATGATTATTCCGAAAAATCATTTTTCATACTTATTTAATATTACACCTCCGCTAAAAAATTTCTAAGTCCATCTGTGCTAGCTATTGCATGTAGATTAAGTTCGAGCATACTATTGGCCTTATATAAACAATTTGGAGGGTTTAATTTTCTAGCATTTGCTCCGTACCATCGTTCTCAACACGTTCACACCCCCGCCCTAACCCATTAATTTGTTTTTGGTCGATCGACTTTGTCCACCCGTTCTCTTACGTTAATTTTCTTTAACCCGTGAATTCTGTGTTGCCTAAAACTGAAGGAATTACAAGGAAAAGACAAAAAATGAAAATGAAAGGAAGAAGGTTCTCTGTCAATACACACACATACATACAATATTGTAATTAATGCCAAGTGGACTTGGAGTTTGGAAGGAAGGTACTGCATGCATGCGTTCCTGTTCCTAGTCACGACTACTACTCACGGGTCCCAAAGTCAATGAGTCAACAGAATCAAATGAAGGCAAATGGAAAAAGCAAAATCAAATTAAGAAAATCTCTACGTTTGCTTTTCTTTAGAATAGAAAGAGTTCATACAATGTATTTATTTTGCAACTGATAATTTTAGGATATATTTATTGTTTAGATAATACTTGTGTTAACATTAGTTATTATTGTCAAGATGAGAATGAAGACATTTTCCTAATGGTTATGTGATAAAGCAAACGATTAAGCAAATAGATAGTAAAGAAGAGAACATAGAAGAAACTGAGGGGAGAAAATAATTAGATAGCCTGTATAAAAGGGAAATGTCAAGCCAACAAAATTGAACTTAAAATGCATTTTCTAAGTAGTTAGCAGGAAGACCCAAAAACAACCAAACTAATGTGAACTTTCGACTTTAGCAAGTAAGATGGAGAAGATTGAAGGATTAAGAGCCGCAACAACTACACATCTCATATAAAAAATCAGAAAATCATAATAGATGAAAACCACTTGATGAACCAAAAACAAAACCAAAATATGAAATTGTGGAAACTGCCAGCTTCGTGTGGGTTCTGAACCCGTGGAATTTTTCTCCACGTTCTTTAGCTCTTCTTTTTTTCGAGGCAACCATGGGTTAAATTGTTCTTTATTCTTCTCCTGTGAGTCAAGCACAGCACGACTCTATTTTTGTTTTTTGTTTTTTTTAATCAGTGGTGTTTTACTATTTCACCATCTTTTAATTAAAATTGTATGCTTTTTGATTTTTTCTTTGACAAAAGGTATTTTCGGGATTTTTGAATGTTTCATCATTCTCTATCTACAAGAGATTTGTGATCACTCACTATTGGATGTTATCCAATGGTTCAAAAACGTTTCTTAAAATGAATACAAGAGTGAGTGAACTGTTAAATTTAGATCCAACGGTGGATGACCACAAATCTCTTGAACCCTTGTAGTCCAAGAGATCGGGATTACATTAAATAAATGTAAAACAACTATTTCTAAGTGCTAATAACAATTAATTTATTAATTAATTAATTTATTTATTTATGAGCTTTCTGTATATTTGTGTGATGTGCATTACTTGCTACGCCGAGAGCATGGATGGATATGGATTAGGGATACGGTGAGGTTCTTGATGATGCAGATGAGTTTCATTTCGTCCACACAAATGAAGTGGATTTGTAAAAGACAAAAGCTGCGGGTTTACTAAACTAATTAATTAGGGTAATTAATTAGTCAAATATAATACGCTAGGGTGTTTTATAATTTTTTATGATGCTTTGTCCTCTTGTTATAAAACATCATGGCGTGTTGTGGCTGTCTCCCTCTCTCTCGGTGTCCTCTGGTTTTTGCTACCAAAGCAATCAGAAAGTGGTTAGTTAACACAGACTGCAGACTGCAGAGCCTCTCCACTGAAACCAATACGCTGAACCCTAGGCACTGGTCAAACTTTGAAGTTGAACCACCCCAAGCCTTCCCAATTCATTGACTTTCTTTTTTTTTTTTTTTTTTTTTTTCTTCTTCTTAAGGACATTTTGTGCTAGAGTTGTGCCTGGTCCAGTCCAAAAGCAAATCAAGCACATCAACATGTTCTACTTTTGCTATTTTAAAAGAGAAACATCACATCAACACGTGGCATTATTGGTCATCAGACTATTTTATACAAGTAGGGAGGAAAGGTAAGAATTGAATACTTCCCAATACAATCCCATTACAGAAAAATATGTAACACAATGCTTTATTCTAGAGCTAGCAGTTTGTGTTACAATTATGCCCCATGGACGATGTTCATTACTCAGGGGCAACTTGCAGGGGCAAATCCGACTTCTTTACCAGCCACGTCATACACCACCTCCAACCTCTTCTGTTGAACATTCCCAATAATCCCCAAGCCAGTATCATCCTTGTGTCCCGCAAACGCCAAGCAAGCCTGCAAACTACTTACCACATACAATATCCCGGCCGGGTCCAAGTCCACCGTAACCCCGTCCCCAAACCTAAACGCAATACCCGGATACGACACCGTCTTGTAGCCACTGAAATTGTAACACGTGTCCAGCAGCGAAATCGACATAGTCATCTTGTAGTTTTTCATACCCTCCCGAAACGCGTCCCTCAACGCCCTGTACGCAGTCGCCGGCAGCCGCGTGATCACCGTCCCCGAGTCGATGATGGTTCCCGCAGACGAAAAGACCGAGGACGCAACCGGCAGCTGGCGCCGGTTGACGCTGATGCCGGTGAGGCCGAGGCCATAAAACGATGAAGCTCTTTTGGATAACGTGGTGAGCTTGGTGAACTTGACGCCGTTAGCGGAGCCTCCTCCTTTGCCGAAGGTGAGATGGCCGGTGGAGCTGGAAATTGACGGAAGGCAGTAGGAGAAGAAGCGGTTGTATTTCATGGCGGTTTGTTCGACGAGGGAGATGTGTTTCGGCCGAGACCGAGCAAACCGGCGGAGCCGTTGAAAAGGCCTTCGTTCTCTTGGCCACAGCCGAAGAGGAAACCTTCAAAAACGTCCGTGGAGGTCAATGTAAGCTTTTCTTTGGCGAAATCCCCGATGGAGAAGGACCCGTCTCCGTACCGGATGCCGTAAAACGCAGGAGGACGAGGCGGAGGAGCAACCGTGTTGGATGACGGCAGATGAGAGTTTAGTACACGTGGCGGATGTACAGGATAATTTTTTGTATGAGGCAGAGAGAGAAGGGTCGAAGATGGGCTCGCTCTGTCTGTAACAAGATCGAAGACATGGGCGGCATTGGGTCCAGGTGAGGTCGCTACCGGTATCAAAGACGAGGGAGAGTTGCTTGGCTGGCGTGCCGAGGCCGAAGGTGACAAAGTAGTTTCCTGAACCCAGAAGGAGACCGGACTTGGCTGGGAGGGTGGTGGCGGCGGATTGGGTGAATGGGTGGTGGATTCTGTAGTTGAGGCGGGAGTGGATTGAGTTGACTCGGGCTTCGTCTTGCTTGAGGATTTGAGCGTGGAAAAGATTCAATGTACAGTTACAAACGAAGGAATTAACGAAGGATAATACTAGGACAAATATTATCTTAAATGACAGCATATTTCGAATTTGAGTTTATCTTAAATATTTAGAAATAGTTAAACTTATCTATATATATAAAGCAAAAGGCAGAGAATGGTGAAATATTCAAAATACAAGAAAATGTCCTTTGTTAATTCAAATATTAGGAATTGAAATTATTAATTAAATGAGGATAATATGGTAAATTTATACTTTTTCATATTAAAAAAATTAAAATTAAAAGAAAAATCAGATAATGAATCCTATTTTTATGGAACACAATTACCCATTATATTTTTTAATTCTAAAAATAAAAAATAAAACCAATTGGCACATGCGTCCAAGTCCACCGTAAGTCCATCCCCAAACACAAACGCTATCTTCGAATACGACACCGTGTCCAAGCAGCTGAAATCGTAACACGTGTCCAGCAACGAATCGCCCATGGTCAGCGTGTAGTTCTTCATAGCCTCCTGAAACGCGCCCCGCAACACGGCGTATGCCGTCGCCGGCAACCGCTTGATCACCGTCCCCGAGTCGATGATCGTTCCCGAAGACGGAAAGACTGAGGGCGCAATCGACAGCTGGCTCCCCCCGACGTTGATGCCGGCGAGGTCGAGGCCGTAAAGCGACGCCGCGCTTTCGCTTTGGGATGAAGTGATGAGCTTCGTGAACTTAACGCCGTTAGGAGAGCCTCCGTCGCCAAAGGTGAGGTGACCGGTGGAGCTGGAAGTCGATGGGAGGCAGTAGGAGAAGAACCGGTTGTATTTATTGGCGGATTGCTCGACCAAGGAGATGCTGCTCCGGCCGAGACCGAGCAAACCGGCGGATCCGCTGAATAGGCCTTCGTTGTCTAGGCCACAGCCGAAGAGGAAACCTTAAAAAACGTCCGTGGGGGTCAATGTAAGCTTTTCGCAGCCAAAGACCCCGATAGTGAAGGACTTGTCTCCGTACTCGGCGGCATAGAGGCAGGCGGAGTTGGAGGTGGAGCAGTCGTGTTCGATGCCGGAGGATGAGAGCTGAGTACACGCGGCGGTGGTACATGAGATGTTTTCGTATGAGGCGGAGAGAGAAGGGTCGAAGATGGGCTTAGTCTGGTTGTAACAAGACCCAGTACATGGCTGGCATTGGGTCCAGGTGAGGTCGCTGCCGGTGTCGAAGATGAGGGTGAGTTGGTTGGCGGGTGTACCAAGGCCGACGGTGACAATGTAGTTCCCTGAGCCAATAAGGAGACCAGACTTGGCGGGGAGGGTGGTGGCGGCGGATTGGGTGAGTGGGTCTTTGTTGTTGTTGTGGTTGAGGCGGGAGTGGATTGAGTTGACTCGGGCTTGGTCTTGCTTGAGGATTTGAGCATGGTATTTTTCATCACTAGTTGCGGTTGAAGTTTTTGATGATTCGTGGAATTTGGAGCATGGCCCATGCTTGTGCACCACTTTCAATACCGATGATGCCTTGTTATTGTTATGACCTGAGATCATTGAAACATGTAAGCATAGAGAGAGAGAAAGAGAGAGAGAGAGAGAGATACATAAATGCACATAAAATGGGGTTTGAAATTAAGTTATATAATATGGGATGAATTAACCTTTGTTTTAGGGGCTGCAGGTGGTTGCTGGTAGAAGAGAGTTTACTTCAACCGTGTGAGTGGTATGTGGCAGAAGGTGGGGTTTTGTATCTCTTGCTGCCAAAGCAAATCCGTTTTCGAAAGAGCAGAGAATTAGGCATAGAAATACAGAGAAGAAACCCATGAAAAACCTAAGGAAGGAGGAGCTAGAAATAATGGGAGTTGCCATGAATAATTAACAAGATTGCCTCTAGATTATTGAGTTGCTGCTGTAATGTAAGCATACTCTTGGCCTTATATTGGCGAATTGGAGACAGGGATGTCAATTGGACTAAATCCTATGATTGTTTTGGATTAGTTCGGATTGGCCTAAGCTTGATTAAGTATTGTGCTACGTTGGACTAAGGAGCTGGATTGTAAAAATAGTGAAGACCCATGTTTGATGCTGTGTCAGACTAAAAAATAATTATTTTATTAATTTCTCTCTTTTTCTATTTTCGTTTTTTTTTCTCTCTCTCTTTTATTTATTCTTCTCACTCTCTTTCTCTCTTTTCTTTTGTTATCGTGTTTTTTTTTCCTTCCTATTTCATTAAAAAAAAACTTTTTTTTTCTTCTGTCTCGAAACCTCCTACCTACCTTTCTTTTTACACCATGACAAAAAAAAAACAACCCTCTTGTTTGTGAGGTAAAATACCTCTAGGCCGAGTTAGGCTACAGCATAGTGTTATTGGTCGAGCTGGGCCAAACCACGGTGTTAGTGGTCGAGCTGGGCTAGACCACAGTGTTAGTGGTCGGACTGGGCTCGAGCTTGGTCACCACATATTTTTCCACCCTGACCTGTGTGGACTCGTGGGCCCATTTGAGCTCAGCCTCGGTGCACATGAGTCTGATTTACGTGGTGTTCACTCAAAGGACTTCTAATCCCAAGGAAGTTGGGATGTTTCGGGATCACCAAGACGCCAATCCAAAATGGAGTCCAAGTCCGAGGAGGATTAGGTTGTTCTAGATTCCTAGTTCGAGGAGAGCTGGTTTGCTCTAGAGTCCCACTCCGAGAAGGATTAGGTCGTCTGGGATGATATAAAAGGCTAAGGCCATCCTCCGTAAAAGGTATGCAATTCTAAGCACTATAACCTATTGTGCAATTTTATTCTCAAACACTCGACTGACTTAAGTATCGGAGGGTCCTTGGCCGGCACCACACCGGTGTCACCCACTGAGGCTATCTTGTTTCGCAGGTTCTGGAGGACGACTTGGTTGGTCACGCCAACCTCGTTTGGAAGAATTGCCCGACCTCGATCTCGAAAAGGTCACACTACTACGTTTTACCATTTGTGCGACGAAGAATAATTCGTCGTGCAAAACATATTGGCGCGACGAAAGAAAATATTCGTTGCGCAAACCACTGAAAACTTGCGGGACCAAATTTTTCGTTGCACGAAATGTCTTTGCGCGACCAAAAAACTCGTCGTCGCGCAAACAGAGTTAAAAATAGCGGGGAAATTTTTTTTGGCGCGAAACACTTGCACGATGAGGAATATCGTCGCTTAAGACAACCTTGCGTGACGGTTCTCTGATTCGTCGCGCAAAAAGGGACAGAAACCAGTGGGTCCCTTTATTTGGCGGTAAAAACTTGTGCGACGAAATTGTTCGTCGCAAAAGACAGCTTAGTGCGACGGGAAGAAGTTTCGTCGCGTAAGAAAACGAGGGATATTTTATTTTTGGCGCCAAAATTACCTGGTTGGGATATTTTTGTTTGCGCGACGTACATAGTCTTCGTCGCGTAAAGTTTCACGTTTGCGCGACGAATTCTGGTTTTTGCGTGACGAAATGTTGTTTTTGCGCGACGATATGGCGCGACGAAAAACACCTGCGTCGCGCAAAAGTTAGATGTCGGCACGTGATTGCGCGACGGAATATTTGGTTTTTTGCGACGGAAGTTTGCGCGACGAAATTATTTATTCGTCGCGCAAAGTCCTTCTTCTTCATATTAGAATTCTGCCATTACAGAGGCAGAATGCAAAAAAAAAAGCATTCTGCCTCTACCTCTCTCTCAACCTCTCTGCCGCTGCTGGGACTTCAATACATTGATTGGGTAAATATTTTTCGTCATTAGTTTAAAAGTATTAATTTAAATTCGTACTAAGGCTTTTTATTTTGTTTTCGTTAGGGATATTTGTAATTAGCGATTGGTGGAGAACGATTGAGAAGGTATTTTATTCGTTTTATATATTAATAATGTTAAAGTTAGTTTGTTATGGTTAAATTTTTTTTTGTGAAGTTATATTTATATTATGTTGTTAAATTGTGCGTAACGTAGCACAATATGTTGTGATGTACGAAGTTAATTGAAATTAACTTCGTACTTTTATTTGTATGTTTAGTAACACTTAGTTTCCCGTTCGAGATTAGTTGGATTTCGTGCATGGATGCGTAATGCATGACTGCGGTCCAATTAATTCTTGAATTGTCCCATTATTTTGACAGTTTGGTAATGCATAGTGTTGTCACGTAATCTACGGCTACATGATTAGGTTTCGATTGTGGAGATTTCGATGTCATCTCGGTACGTTCTTCGGGTGGTACGTAGGTATTTATACCTATGGCCACCTCAAGAACTGTAGCGAGATGCTGGCGAAATTCATCCACGTCGAAATCTAATCTCATGTAGCCGTAGGTTACGTGGCATGAGTATGCATTCCCGAATGGGATAGGACCCTTACCGGAGGCATAATGTGACATTATAACTTCGTATGAAGTTGTTGTGATTGTTGTGTTGTGATTCTGGTTTCAGGAATTATGGACAGAAGGTGGATACAGAACCCAAACAGATGCGCAGACGAATACTTGGATGGAATCGAGGATTTTATTGAGTTTGCACGTAGACCCAACCTGGGTGCAACTAGAATCCGTTGTCCTTGTAGGAGGTGCAACAACACGTTATGGGAGACAATTGAAAATGTAGGATTTCATTTAGTAAGGAATAGAATGATTGAAACATATAGCATTTGGAACCTTCACGGGGAACAATTAGAGCATGCTTCGTCTTTAAATGCCACAAGAGTGGACAATGTTCAACCTATTGTGGATGCTAATGATCAAGTCATGGATATTATACAGGATGTTTTTCCATTTGCATCGACCAACATGAATCAAGAATAACAAGATGATGTGCCTACACCAATAGACAGTGTGGAGTTCGAACAATATGAAAAATTGTTAAAAAATGCCAACCAAGAGTTATACCCGGGGTGCGAGAGCTTTTCCGTTCTCACGGCCATTGTGGAGCTAATGCATGGAAAAATAAAGTATCGTATGTCGAACCTGTGATTTGATTACTTTTTGGGAATTTTCAAGAGAATGCTTCCGACGGACAATTGTTTGCCGAAAGACCATAAACAGGCGCAGAAGGTGTTGAATGGTCTGGGATTGGGTTATGAAAAAATTCATGCTTGCAAAAACAATTGCATGTTATTCTACAAAGAGCATGAATCGTTGGATACATGTCCTACATGCAATGAGTCGAGGTTCAAGATGACATATCAGAATAGGACGACTAAGATCCCACAAAAAGTCATGCGTTATCTGCCCCTGAAACCTAGGTTGCAGCGATTGTATATGTCGACGCATACTGCCACAGACATGAGATGACATAAGGAAAAATGGGTAGACGATGATATGATGCGGCATCCTGCAGATGGGGAGGCATGGAAAGAGTTCGATCGAACGTTCCTCGAGTTTGCTACTGATCCACGAAATGTTAGATTGGGACTTGCCACTGACGGATTCAATCCGTATGGGGTTCTAAACCAACACCACAACACTTGGCCGATTTTCGTATTCCCATATAATTTGCCGCCTTGGAAATGCATAAAAAAAGAATACATGATGATGACTGTTTTGATAACTGAGGATCCTGGGAGGTCAATCGATGTTTACTTAAGGCCGCTGGTTGATGAGCTGAAGGATTTAAGGACAAACGGTGTTTGCACGTACGATAAATCAATTGGGAAGATGTTCACTTTGCGGACGGCAGTTATGTGGACTGTGAATGATTTCCCAGCATATGCAATGGTTTCTGGGTGGAGCACAAAAGGTTATACGGCATGTCTCGTATGCAAGGAAGATGTAACTTCTGGTTGGCACGCTGGAAAGTTTGTTACCTTGGTCATCGGAGATGGTTGCCATGGGACCATGAGTGGAGGGAAAAAGATAAAGAGTTCGACGGGAACACAGAGGGTCGCCTTAAGAGAATGGTCCGGTGATGAGATATTGGACCAGCTTAACCAGTTGGATTTTGCCCCCTTCGGGAAAACCGTTAGTCGTATCAGACCTTCTACACATATGAACTGGACGCACAAGCCTATGTTTTTTGAGCTCCCATATTGGTCGAAACTCAAATTGAGGCATAATCTAGATGTGATGCATGTTGAGAAAAATGTATTTGACACATTGGTGGGCACGATTCTAGATATCGAGGGGAAGACAAAGGACACGATCAAAGCTCGTCTTGATTTGGAAAGAATGGGCATACGAATAGGTTTATGGATGAATAGGGACAATGATAAAGCTAGAAGGGATCTTGCATTCTTTTTTATGAAACCGAATGACAAGAAAGAGTTTCTAAAGTTTGTATCGTCTGTAAAGTTTCCCGATGGGTATGCCTCTAATATCGCACGTTGTGTGAATGTTGACGGGGGTAAATTTACTGGACTTAAGAGCCATGACTGCCATGTGTTTATGCAACGCCTACTTCCTGTGGGTATTCGACACCTATTGCCGGAAGATGTAGTAAAGCCAATCATTTTGTTGTCCAGATTTTTTTCCCAACTGACGGCAAAAACTTTGCGAAAAACGGACATGTTTCAGTTGCGCCATCACATTGTCCAAGTCCTATGCAAGTTTGAGATGATATTTCCTCCAGCTTTCTTCACAAGTATAATGCACGTGATGGTTCACTTACCAAAAGAGGCATTGCTTGCTGGTCCTGTCAACTATCGCTGGATGTATCCAATAGAAATGTATATAATCCTTATCGTTTGTGTATGCATCATTATTACATGCTTGCTAATTTGTATCATATCGTTTTATTTTGGCAGGCTTCTCGGAGAGCTGAAAAAAAGTGTACGCAACAGGGCGAAGCCCGAAGGATCAATTGTAGAGGCTTGGGTTCAATAAGAGTAGCTTACTTTCTGCGGAATGTATTTAAAAGATGTGGAGACGGTTTTCAATCGTCCTCAACGCAATCATGACGGAGGTATGAGAAATGAAAAACTTTCTGTTTTTGCCCAAAGCGCACGACCCTTTGGAGATCCTGGACGAGGAGAGTCGTTTTTTAGAAATGACATAGAGGTAGCGCATTGGTTCGTACTGAACAATTATGATGAAATCATGGGATACTTATATGAGCATGAAGAGATGATGAAGCGAGAACATCCATCACATTTGGTTGCCCAGAAACACCGTGAATTGTTTCCACAATGGTTTTTGGATTCTGTAAGTTATAAGTGTTTGTTATTTGAGAAATATAAATTGTAGTTTTTAATTTTGTCGGACTAACATGTGAATGGTTTTGTATAATATTAGGTGAATAAGTTGAAATCATCGAATTCCCCAACTTACAGTGATGAGTTATATAACTTGACGTTCGGCCTGATTCGCGCTGAATTGTTCTCGGGTTGTAATGTTAACGGCGTCAAATTTTTGGGGGTTGCACGAGATGACAAGTTGTGTACGCAAAACAGCGGTGTCCATGTCCCAGGTGGAGGCGAAAGTACGAACATTGATTTCTATGGCAAACTCACAACTGTCGTGCAATTGCTTTACAAATATCGATATCAAGTGATCATGTTTAAGTGTCGATGGTTTGACACCAACCCAAATTGGCCGGGAAGTGTTAAAATCGATCATGGCTTACTATCTGTGAACATGAACAGAACTTGGTATGATGACGACCCTTATATTTTGGCAAACATGGCAACACAAATTGTGTATCTAGATGACCCTAAAGCCGGAAGCGGTTGGAACGTTGTTCAGAAGATGGATCATAGGAACGTGTATGCTATACCAGAACTAGACCCAACTGGCAACGACGTCGACAATGTGGCTGACCAACGTTTAGAATCTTCAATGGAAAATGATGCGGAAACACTTCGAGATACAAATGTTATACAAGAGCCATTTCAAATACAAGGAGTGTCTTCAATCGAAATACCGATTTAGTCAATTACAATGGACCTCGGTGATCTTCCGAGATACGATGTTGCAGTTGGCCCGAGCAACGACGATGATGTAGTTATAGAGGAGGCGGAGGAGGAGGAGGAGGAGGAAGAGGATTAAGAGACCGAAAGTGATGATAGCGACGATAATGAAAGTTATTATAGTTCAGATGATGAATGATGAATTTTTTTTGTAATTTTATTATGTTAGTGGACATATTTTGTGTAATGCAAATGTTTTCATATATGTACTTATTATATCCAAACATTATATATGTGGAGAAATGAAACATTATTAAAATAAATGTAGTTATAAACCATTGGTAAATCAATATATCCAAGTCATTTTAATAATAAAGTTTAAATTTATTTTGACAAAAAACTTTTTAAAAATGAAAATCGTAAACAAGAAAGAGAATTGGGGAGATATAGAAATATTGATAATTATTTAATTATAATAAATATGTTATTATTCATATAAGAGAAAAAATGAATAAAAAGAAAATAAGATTATCTAAAAAACTTTCTTTCATTTGAACTCACAAAATCAACAATCCTTCAATTCTCAAATCAAAAGAAAATAGAATAAATCATACTTTCATACAATTAATTATATGTAATGATGAATAATTCAGTGTAATAATATGTGAATGAAAATAACCTTGCGCGACGAAGGCATCATCGTCGCGCGAATTTTGCGCAACGGAAAATTTACACGTCGCGCACACTTTAAATTTTGCGCGACAAATAATTCCGTCGCGCAAGTAAATTTTGCGTTGAACAAAAGTACCTCGTCGCGCAAACATACATATATATATTTTTGATATATACACACGTATATATTTGAAATTGACGATCGAAGCAGTTCACTGTATTCACATAGGGTTAAACAGTGTAGTTGTAAAAAATCATCAAAATCGGAGTCAAAATAACCGTTAAATCATGACTTTTCGTTTATAACCGTCGAAAAGTTTTGTCCCGTTACTTGATCTCTAAATGTTTTTTTTTTCTAATTTTCGACGTATACGATCTCGAAGTATAAACAAACAAATTTGACAGCTGGATTACTGAAACTAGTTTCGTAGAATGCGTATTCCATCAAAACACAATATTCACCAAAAATGAAGAATTTATTTATACATTCCTTCAATATAACATAAAATTATGTGATGTCCTGTACTGTAAATATTTGAAATTGAAGATCGAATTCCATCTCTGTATTCATATAGGGTTAAGAAACGCAGCTGTAAAAAAATTTCAAAATCGGAGTTAAAATCACCGTTGAATCGGGACAATTTGTTTAGAACTGTCGAAAAGTTTTGTCCCGTTACTCAATCTCTGAATGTTCATTCATTCTGATTTTCGACGTATACGATCTCGAACTACAAAAAAAGAAGATTGCCGGTTGGATCATTGAAACTAGTTCAGGAGTTAGGGTTTAGGGTATAGGTTTTAGGGTTTACGGTATAAGGGTATGGGTTTGCGCGACGAATACATAATGTATTCGTCGCGCAACCCTCACTAGAAAATCCTTGCGTGACGAATCCAATTCTCCCTCGTCGCGCAATCTGAGGAAGAATTTCAGCCCCTCTACGACCCAAGACTTAGTATTTTTTTTTGGGCAAAATCTGGCTTGCGCGACGAATACAAGTCCCCTTCATCGCGCAATGTGAGAAAGAATTTCAGCCCATCTCCGCTCCAACACTTAGCGAATTTTTTTGGCAAAAATCTGGCTTGCGCGACGAAATACTGTCTTCTTCGTCGCGCAAAGGTTACATACAAAGGCTCGCGCGACGAATACATGTCTCATTCGTCTCGCAATCTGAGGCACAATTGCGGCCATACTCTGCCCCAACACTTAGTAAATTTTTTTGTAGGTCACAGCTTGCGCGACGAACGATACTTTCTTCGCGCAGTAGCATTTCATTTACCTCCCCCGTGCAAAATCAAATCCCAAAATTTGGGCGGATAGACAAACTTGCGCGACGAAACAAGTTGTTTCCGTCGCGCAAAGGTGATATTTTCAGAACCTTGCGCGACGTACAAAAATCTTTCGTCGCGCAAAATTGCCAACCCTAAACCCCAATCCCAAATTTTGGCGGACATGGCGACATTGCGCGACGGAAATGTTATTTTTTTCGTCGCGCAAAATTTATTTAAATGAATTTTGCGCGACACATTTAGTTATTCGTCGCGCAAAGTGGAATAAGTTTTCTGAAACTCGCAATCTTCTCCTTCTTCCCCAGTTTCTCAAATCCGCCCTAAAACGCCCCTCTCTCTCCGCCGTGACCTCAGCCTCTACTCCGCCCCAATTTAGACGCTGCCGCCACAAGCGTCAAACCCTGGAGCTTCTCCGCCGTCGCCGTTCATCATGCCGCCGTGATTTCCTCCGTTTAGGCCGAATCTTCGCCGCCGCTGTTCTCTCTCCTCCGGGCACCAAATACGACAATTGAGGTATGCTTTCTGGACTATTTTTGATGCTTTAGCTGATGGTTGGGTAGGATTTGATTGATTGTGTGCATAGGGTAGTGAATTTGAAACCCTAGGTTTCGGCCGATTTTTAAATTGAAATTCCGGCCACTTACGGCCATTTTTCGGGGTTGGTCCGAGAACAAAAGTGCCTCCAAGTGATGTTTTGAACCTATGGTAGGAACCTTGGCCGTTAATTTTTAGGATTTTCAGGTGATTGTTATCGCTTTGGGCACCCACGCGCTGTCGGCCCGTGTGGTGGCGCGTGGGGTACTGTGGCAAAGGGCATTGGGTCTCGAACACGTAGGTGTGCTCGGATTGGAATTTGGTTACCGTTTGAGTCTTGAATGGATTTTGCCTATTGTGCGATTTCTGGATTTGATATGTTTGGACCGTTGGATCGAGCTGAACCTCACGTATGTGTTACCATGTATTTATAGGATCGTTTAGGATTCGACGGATCGTGGATCGGAGTCCCGGATACTCCGAAATCGCAAACCCTAGGTCAAACTATGATTTTAATTAATTAGTTCAATTTTTTAATAACATTGTATGTGCTAAATTTGATTAATGAAATTGTGCAGATGTCAAACTTGATTAGACGTCGTAGGGCGGTGACGACTACACCGAGTTCGGAGTTCCCGGCTCAGACGGTATCAGCTGCCACTGCTCCAGCACTGATGGAGCAGGACCACGTGGTAGCTGGTCCTGGGGGATCCCAGGCGCCTGCATCATCATCTTCTTCGGTGGTGCAGCCTCTTAGCGTTAGGCGGCGACACCGGCCCGCTACCACCACCGACACCACATCGACCAACGGTACTGGTGCCTCGGGGGCACCGCTAGGTATGTATACCCTTCCACTTTCGTTTTTTTGTTTTTAAAATTTTTTTAATTGGGAATTTTATGGTTCAATTTGTTATTTATTTAACAGTATTGTCATATCCCTTTGCAGCCAAGAGGAACACCCGAGGGCCGTGTTGGCAGCTGAAGACGGCGAAGGTCACCCGGGTGACCAACAGTCATATCAGTATCGGATATGACGAGCGCCATCGGGCTGCACCGACGGCGGACTTGCATAGCTCCTTGGCCCACGACATTGGCCACGTCGTTCGGACCCATTGCCCGATGCAATGGAAGTCTTGGAAGGTCATGCCTGACGAGATCAAGATGCAAGTTCGCGGCCAGTTGTCGGTATGTTTCCTATCTTTTAATTGTTTTTCTTTCAAACTTTATATATTTCTATTACTTAATGTATGTAATGAATTTATTGCAGACGAACTACCACTTAGAGGACCTCAACGAGGAGACCTTGGCGTACGTCAACAGACTCTTCGGTGCGAGGTACAAGCAGTGGAAGAGCGACTTGCACCACCATTTTCAGGCGTTTGATGATCCGCAAGTCGCTCTTCAGGAGGGTTGCCCGAAGGAGCTTGAGGGGCGGGAGGATAGTTGGGTGTGGCTCTGCGCTCATTTTCAGGCGCCCGATTATGTGGTATTTTTTAAAATAATATTTGTTTAATTATTACATATTTCTTATTAATGTTTATTTTATTTTTTTATATCTCATTATTATTTAATTTATTTATATTTCAACTATTACGTTTTATTTTTGTATAACAGAATAAAGCCCAAGTGAATAAGGGCAATAGGAAGAAGAAGACTCTTCTCCACCATTCCGGCTCCAGGCCCTTCTCATATAGGATGGATGCACAGCGTCTGGTAAGAATAATATAATTTATATTTAATTTTTAATACGTCATTATTATTAATTTATTTTGTTCATACTAATATTTTCCTTCTCTTGTTCAATTAAGGGGGGGGTCGAAATTCCCAGAGATCGACGTCTTTGGTGACGTTTATGTTCGACCTGGGAATGAGTTGGCCGAGTCCCTTCATGTAAGTATTATTTAATTTTAATTCTTATGTTACGCTTTCAATTTATATGCATTTTTTAATTTATATTTTATGTAATGTTAAACATGTGACAATGGTGGAGAGGAGCCAGTTGGTTCTTCAAGAGTCCGCCTCCCAACTTCCTCCCGAGACTCCAATCGAGTCTGTGGATCCTCCGCACGATGCTGGATTTCAGATTTTGACGCAGACGTTGGATCAGACTCTCGGGAGGAGGCCGGGAACGTATTGTAGGGGGATGGGGAATGCCCGACAGAGGGAACCTCGACCGCGGTCATCGTCGCAGGCAAACAGTTAGGTGACTGTTTTGACATCACGGGTTACCGAGCTTGAGGGTCAGATGTCGGTGATTCTGCAGTCCCTCGCGCGGTCCGGCATTCCAATCCCGAATTTTGGTGCGTCGACCTCCGAGCCCGTCCACCCCGAGCATCCCTAGCACACCACGGCCCCTGCATATGCCCAGACCTCCGAGCCGCATGTGGCAGATGACCAAGTAGATTTTGGAACATTATTTGATTAGTTTTTTATTTTTATAATTACTTTTAAAATATTTCTCTTGTATACATTTATTTTATTTTATATAATAAATGTTTTCTTTGCGATTAATCTTTTTATTGTAATTTAAACAAAAGTCATCTAATTCCTTTGTCCCTGTAAATGACTACCAAGGTCTCAATTTGCATAACCAAAATTACAAATTATCATGAATATACAATCCTCTCATGGCTACCTTAAATGCATGCTATGCCACCCACATATATTTAAGTAATCACATGTGCATATAAACTACATTGCATAAATATACTATATTCTAATCCTTAAACTAAAAATCATCCAAATTAAAACACCACTGTATGAATTTAAATAGAAAATAGCAAAACTAGTTAAACTACCAGAACTTGACAAAACTCCCACTTTTTAGTCATCCAAATGAACTATCAATCCCATGCTAAGCACATGTCTGTGAAAAACAGAATTTGGCAACCCCTTAGTAAGTGGATCTGCAACCATTTCATTTGTGCCAATGTGCTCCAACACAGTATGCCCATCTCTAATCTTTTCTTTGACAGCAAAGAATTCAACTTCCAGAATTCTTTATGCCTGTGTTCTTTTATTCCCTTTTACAAAAAGTACTGTTGCACTGTTATCATTCCAAAGATGTATAGGTCGTTGAATTGATTCAACCACACCCAAATTAGTGATAAAGTTCTTTAACCACATAGCTTGAGTGGTTGCCTCATAACAAGCCAGAAATTTTTCCAATATAGTCAATGCAATTGTGAGTGGCTGCTTGTTACTTCTCCATGATATTGTTGCTCCAGCAAATAGGAAAACATATCCTGATGTAGATTTCAAGTCATCTTTGCAACTTGCAAAATCTGCATCAGCGTAACCTTCTAGTTTTAGTCTATCACTCCTTTTGTATACCAACTTATAGTTCCGTTGTTCTTTGAAAATATCTCATGACTCTTTTACCATCAATCCAATATGCTTGTCCAGGATTTGATTGGAATTTTCCCGATACATTTACTGTAAAAGAAATATCAGGTCTGGTGCATACTTGTGCATACATGAGACTCCCCACTAATGATGCATAAGGTTTATCTGCCCTTTCACGCTTTCCTTGATCAATCTTTGGTGCTTGATTAGTATTAAATTTATCTCATTTTGAAATAGGCACATCTGACCCTGCACAACCTTGCATGTTAAACCTTTTGAGTATCTTTTATGTATAAGTCTTCTGTGATAGTCCAAACAAACCTCTCTTTCTATTTCTGCTAATTTCGATTCCCAAAATGTATGAGGCTTCTCCCAAATCTGTCATTGTCGAAATGTTTAGTCAGGAATGCCTTGCAATCGTGTAACATGGACATGTTGGTGCAAGCTAGCAGAATGTCATCTACATAAAGAATCAGAATTATGAAGTGACTCCCACTCATCTTCATGTAAATGCACTCATCTAAGACATTCTCTGTAAAACCATATAGTTTAACAACTTCATTGAATCTTATATACCACTTTCTAGATGCTTGTTTTAGACCATGAATTGAGATGTTATTGCTCAATATTGTTGAAGTTTTGGATGATTTGTGGAATATAGAGCATGGCCCATGCTTGTGTACCACTTCCAATATTGTTGCCTTGTTATTGGTATGACCTGGTCATTGAAAGGGATGAGTGTATGTATACATGTGACTCTTTATGCATATACTCACAATTATATCCATCTGTGCATGCCTGGCACTAGTTTGCGGGTAACAAGACCATGCACGTCATGTAGGTGAGAGAGACACAAAGGTAATGGGGCACGGGGCTTTTTTATTATTATTATTTATTATTATTTACATATTTTTAAATAGAGTAAATTTGGTTTAGGGCTTTTTTTGGGCCAAGCACGGGGCTCTTTATGTGTGTGTTTTTTTTTTTTTTTTTTTTTTTTTTTTTTTTTTTAATTAGATTATTGTGATTTAGTGTAACAATTGGCTTCTATATGAATGGTTCTTCTGGATTCGTGGTCATTGCATTTGTGTAGTGTGTATATATTTAGTAAACTTAAAAAAAAAGTTTATATTTTTCTATGCATGTGAATATTAGAGGGAATTTCACAGGATATCTATATAATAGCAGACTCTAGTTCCATGCACCATTGGAATTAACAACGTATATAGCAAGGCCTAACGGAATACTGGATGCCAGACAATATATGAATATATATACATATAGAGAGAGAGAGAGAGAGAGAGAGAGAGAGAGAGAGAGAGAGAGAGAGAGAGAGAGAGAGAGAGAGAGAGAGATGCTTGCACGCAGGGACGGATCTAGGAATTCAAAATTGCATGGGCTGAATTTACCTTACAATAAAATTTGACGGCACGAGTGAATTTAATTAATAACAAAAAATAATACACCTAGTCAGGGGGGGACATAATGAGCCGTACCCCTCAAATTGCATATAGTACATAAGATAGAAACGAGTAAACAAAGGCAACAATAAATAAATATGCAATGCAAACACAAAATAAAACTATTTAAGTTGCACCCTTCGAGACTTCAAATAGTTAAAATCACTAATTAGTGATTCATTATCAATACTATCAACAAATTCTTTTTCAATGTGAAGTATCATACAATTAGCAAGAAACTCATCCTCGATCTTGTTCCGAAGTCGATTTTTGATAAGTCTCATAGATGAAAATGCACGTTCTGTTGTTGCTGTAGAAATAGGAAGAGTTAACACCAAATGAATCAATCTATCAACCAAATGGTAGGTGTGTGCTAACCCTGTGTCAAGTAAACACTTCAACAATTAAGGAATGGAATCGAGATTCTTGAAGGTTGGAAGTAATCCATATCAATCTTATAAAATCCCAATTGTTGATTTAAAGCCTGCAACTCAGTTGCAGTAAAATCTTCAGGATAAAACTTCTCAGCAAGATTACATATATCATCAATGTTAAATCGCTTGAAAAAATTATAAGGATCCAATGCTGAGGTCAGATAAAGAAGTTCCATTGTTTGCTCTGGAAATCTAGTATTTAACTCCACCAACTGAAAATCTATTACATCATTAAATACATCAATACGATAATAATGCTCAAATGTAATAGAATCTTTTTGTTGACAAGAACGACCTCTACCCATTTTATGACGGGCACTCATATCAGGTACACAAATGTCATGTTGTTCACAAAATGATAGCACACTCTTGATAAAATCATCCCAACCATTATTTCTCAACTCATCTAGCTTCATTTTTGTACTTGAAACCAGATTTAAAGCACTTACAATGTCTTGAGATTTGCTTTGAAGTGCTTGACAAAGAAAATCTGTAAATCCCATAGTTTACAATGTCTTGAGATTTGCTTACAATGTCATAAGATTCATCATCACCTCTAAAAGCCATCCCTTGATTTGCAAGATACCTAATAACCTCTATTGTGGTTGTAAGTCTCAACCGATTTTTTCTCACATCTTCCGATGATTGCACCACTCTATCAATATGTTGAGCAGGGTTCCTTATATCCATCCACTCTATCAATATGCTGAAATTGACGATTTTGATTCCCATCTAAGTGGCATGGATATTTTCCTAATGTCGGTTGACATGGTCCTAAGAAAATATATGATCTTCGAACATTATCACGTTCATTAATTGGATATGTGCATATTAGGCGACATAATCCCAGATCATGTTCAAGAGAATTAGTAGCCACTTCTTGATCACAATTGACTCTTCCAGACTCGACTCCTCTTACAATTTGAGGTTCGAAAGGAGGTTGCTCTCCAAAAATTGGAGGTGACAAGGGAATGCTACTTGATGATGATCCATCATTCTTTTTCTTAAAAAAAAATGCAAAATATTCTTTGTTCTCTTAGGATTTCGATGATTATATGACATTATCTAGTATAACCTATGAATAATGTATAGAACATGTAATCTTATCAAAAATCAATATCTAGTTCTAGTACTGGTAAGCTAAAACAAACAGAGTTCCAATTTAATTAAATGCTAGAAATGGAATAAAATCCCAAACACATATAATATGAGGTTAAAAATCCCCAAATTCAAAAATCGTTCTTACTCCTAATTTCAAGAAAAAATATCCAAAATTTTAACAAAATCTTTAGTTAAGAAAATTACCTCAACAAACAAAGAAGAGAAGGTTTTGGCTTCGTAATTTGCTGTGATGCGCTTTTTTGCTGCACCTCAGTGGCATAGTCGCACACCCGTCAATTTGCTTCTCTTGGGGAATGAAGTTTTGCTCTCTGTCTGTCTGTTTCTCTCAGTCACTAAGTTTGACTAAGGTTTGATGCGTGGGCTGGGCTCTGCTTTGAACTTTGGGATGGGCTATCTCTACTAAGTTTGTTTCTCTCTCAAGAATCGCTCATACTATAATGAGGGGTAAGTTATAAGGGGTAAGTTATAAGGGGTTCACTTTATAGCCATCAGATCGATCCCATGGTTGAACTGTTATAGTACAATCGGGTTGAAATTACCCATACCAAAAGATGCAATCCGAAAGTGCAAAGCACGCTCTCTCTCATCCTGATTGACTCTTCTTCCTCACAAGCCACTCGCTTTACAATATGTTCATCTTCTCTCTCTCTCTCTCTCTCTCTCTCTCTCTCTAGCCATCTCTGGTTTGAGGTTATCAAAAAACCAAACTCAACCAACACAGACAGAGAGGGTTTTGAGTCTTTTTTTTTATTATTGACACTTTATCACCCCAAAAATTTATTTTCTGACGCTTCCTCTCCTCTCTCGCACTCTCCCAAACCAAATTCGGAACCCTAGTTTGACCTAGCCAAGCCGCCGCAACTCAGGACCTCCGTTGACGACCTCACCGCGAAGCCACTATCGCGACTCCACAGCCAAGCCACAGTCACGACCTCCATTGTCGTTCTCCACAGCGGTGAGTTCTGATATTGGTTTTGTACTCTCTATATGTTATAATTCATTGATCCCCTTTTCTTATTATTGCAACAGTAGTGGCATTCATGGGCTCCATTTTTTGCTACGGTCCTCTCTCTCTCCCTCTCCTTCTCTGTAAGTCCTCTTCTTCTCCCTCTTCAAATTTCAGTAATCCTCCATACCACTGACCTGAACCACCTACTTCTCTGGTTATCTTCTTCTTCGGGTCATTCAATTTCAATTTTTTTTTTCTTTCTAAATTCTACTTTAGGGATTCAGTTGGGTTAATTTTCGAAATTTTACTTTAGGGATTCATTCAATGCCTAATTTATGAGCTGTGGCTTTATGAATTATCAAGTGGACTACTTGTTTTTAATTGATCATTGATAATGGTATTATTGTAGTTTTTAATTGATCTTTGCCACAAGATGTGATATTTTGTCCTGTGTTTTTCAATGTTCTGTGTTTGTTGTTTGAACTACATGGGATGAACTCCAGTCCATTGCCATAATAGTTGCTTTTCTTTCTTCCTTCATTGCTTTTAGTGGGTGAAGACATGATAAACTAAAAAATTACATAAAGCACACAAAACTTCCCAACATTGTGTTAATAAATATATTATTAGTGAAGGCAAAAAGGAATGTTGATTTGAACTGGGAAAAAAAAAAGTTAATGCTTTTGTTACATAAATGAAGACCAAGTAGTTATAGCCAGAGCACTTGAAACAGCCTGACTCAGTTGTGACTTGGGAGTGTATATAATTAGACATTAAGTTGCCCATGATGTGACATTTGGTCATGTAGTGTGAATGCATGAACTAGCATTCTGGGACCATTTTACTGACTGAAGATGACACTGGATTTTCAGATCACCAACCTTCTGAATGTTGCATTGTCATGCATGACTGTACTTTTGTAAATGGTTGCTGCTGCTTACTTACTAACTTAATTAAGTGAAGTCATTCTGCCTGTGGTCATGCTAATGGTTTATTTATTTATTTTTAAGAGAAACATAATTTTTCTGCGTGGTTATTACTAATCAATCTCCTTGGAGCATAGAGTTTGCTTCTCCTATCTATTCGATTTTCATCAAGCCGTGCAACTAATGTTAAGTTTTCTTTTACTTATTGTTTTCTGCAGAGAGGATGAGATTGAGGACATTCAGAAGGTACTACCTCATATTCTTGATATTAGAATATCTTACCCGTAATTTATTGAAATAAAAATAAACCAAGTTATTAAATTCTTTTAGTATTGATGGAAGTTGTGTTACTAAATTACCAGTACCTACGCTTGGTTGACATGGTTGTTTTGAATTGTAAGATTAGCTTACTATTCGATGGACCCACTTGCTGATATTAGGAAATGGAGTTATTAATTGAAATGAATGGGAATGTGCTTGTGCTTGTTTCTTATGCTATATTAGATTTTGTGTGAGTGTGATGCTAATCAGCCATTGAAATACACATCTTTTGGTGTTAATATTTGAAGTATTGGAACATGGGAAAGCTGAAAACATGTATCTTCATGAGATGCTTGAGCAAAATTTGAAGTATTGCAAGAGCATTAAGTAGACCTCCCTTGATATGGCTTGCTATAAAATGTAACATATGGATCTGAATTCATTGTTCTAAAGGTGCCCCTGTAGATTATTTGTTTCAATTCATGATTCTCTTTCACCTATATAGAAACATAGGATTGGTTTGTTTTTTTTTAAATCTGGAATTGTTTGTACATTTAGAAAATGGAGAACATTGGATTGCTTCAGAAAATTGTGGTTGTTTTGTTCACTTTGCCTTCTTTAGGAAGCTTATATAGAGTACGTGTGGAGCTTCTTAAGTCAGACAATTCAATATTGCCCCATTTTTTGCCAAACCATTTGATGATTTTTTAATGGTTCTTTTTGTTCCTAATAATGTTCCCGTAATATCACTTTGTACAAGAATAGTTATGTTTCTTCAATCTTATCGGATTGGAATGCAGCTGTTTCTTAGTTTCATTGTTCTGTGTATTGCTGTTATGGATGTTGTAGTTGTATTTGGTTCTGTATTGATGTTATGGATGTTGTTTGGTTATATTGATTATTGGTTGGTTGATTAAGTTCACCCCTTGAGGTGTTTTGATGTTTGGTTATGTCCCTCTTATTTAGTTCAACAGTTTCTTTGTGCTTTGTGTGTTCCACATTTTCCGATTTTCTCTTCTTGTGTTCTAGGTTGGGAAGCTCTTTGCCAATTAGTATGAGTTTCTTAGGTCTTTTAGTTTCTGATTGCTTTTTTCTTGTCTCAGTTTCTATTTTGTTTTTTTGGTCTTTGTTTCTCCTCTTTGCTAATTTCTTGTTTTGCCATCTCTTTTGCAGGGTTCTTTATTTTTTTTTAAATGACAGTTGGACCTAGATTTTTGACATATAGAACATTGTTGTCATTGAGAACCATCATCAATTTGGCGTGGGACAACATTGTATTCCATCACAAGAAGTGTGCTGTAATTATATGGAAAAAAAACATGTAACTGAGGAACTATATATTTTAGTCTTGTAATTTAGTCCGCATTCAATGAAATTGAGTTCAATTTACTTGAGAAATTTCAGTCTTGAATTCGTTCTTTTTATATTCTCAAGTGTGTGCAATAGAAAAATACTTCTTTTCCATAGAACAATGAAAAAATACTTTTACTTATATTATACATTGAAGAGAACATTGTATACATTGTGTATTCTGCCCATGTATTGCTGTTACATTGTCTTCCTATTGTTCTCTTATTGCTGCCATATTACTTTTTTCACCTATGTATTGGCAATTATAAAGTTGAAGTTGGACATCAGGTGTGCATATTGTCATCTAATTGTCGTTATATTGCCTTCCTATTGCTCCCTTATTGCTAGCATATAAATTTTTTTATCTCTGTATTGGCAATTACAAAGTTGAAGATGAACATCAGGTTTACGTATTGCCGTATGATTGCTGTTATATTGTCTTTGCTCTCTTATTGTTGCCATATCAATTTTTTCAACTCTTCCTCTGGAACATATAAAGTTCAAGTTAGACATCAGATTTATGTAGTGTATTTTTTTAGAGCGTAGAGAATGTCACAAAGAGTTCCTACCAAATTTCGGTGTATTTTTTGGATTTTTATTTCATTTATTACGAATTTTGTAAGTTAAATTCTAAAAAATTATTATTAAATGGTATGGAGTGACACATCATGGATTTTTATTTAATTTATCATTATTAAAAAGTAATATAATAATAGATAATAATAACAATATTAGGATAAAAAGTAATAGAATAATAATTTAGGGTAAATAATAATATAATAATTTAGGATTAATAACAATATAATAACAATTTAGGGTAAAAGTAATATAATAATCATTTAGGGTAAATAATAATATTATAATAATTCACAGTAAAAAGTAATATAATAATATTTTAGGGTAAATAACAATATAATAACAACTTAGGATAAAAACTAATATAATAACAATTTAAGGTAAATAATAATATAAGAATAATTTAGGCCTCCATAATCATAAGGAGTTTGTAGTAATTTTTAACAACTTTTGGCGTATTTTTCAAATTTTTAATTAATTTTTTTATGATTTTTTAAGATAAACTTGGGAAAATTAAACAAAATGACATGTGGCACAATCGTACGATG